ATTTTACCCTATGATTAACTATCACAGGTAAATTACCTTTTCCCTGAGAGGTTCTCACTAAATTGACCTTAGCTTTAAGCTTGTTTTTATTTACTTTTGCCTGGTCAGAGATTTTAGATTTTATGCATTTTTTGTGGAACTTTGAAGTATGTTGGGAAGAAAAAATTTAAAATGCACATATGCATATAACTTGGCCCCAGAAATGATAGTAATATAAAAATGTCATTTCATGAAAGCGTTTGCACTTTCTGCAGATGGTCCAAAAGTTTGACTCTAAGCTTTCTTTTCCATTAGGATGTTTCTGAGAGTATAAGTGTTTATTGTAACTTCTAATTTCATTCTGTTTTCTTCAAGTATGAGAAAACTACCTCAGCAGTTTATGATGTAGAAAATTGTGTAGATACATTATTGGATCTTGTGCAAATGTACCGAGAAAAACCTGGTGACAAAATTGCAGACAAGGGCAGAAGCATTTTCACAAAAACATGTTGTTTGTTAGCTGTTTTACTGAAGGCAACAAACCGAGCGTCTGTAAGTATTCATCAGTTTCCTTTCTCTGAGGCTGTTGTACAGGCTTTTGGCTCTAAGACGTCTGTATTTTTCCTTCATTAATTATCACAAGTAGGATTTTGTATGTTTTCAAACCTGCTTTTTTGTGCCAGTGTATGAGTTATGTCTTATGTATTAAAGAAACTGAAATCCAAAATTGAACTCATTTCAACCATATGAGTAACCACGGCGCATTTACATAAGGGAGGTAACATGTTATCCCAGTGAGGTAGAAAAGAAGATGGATATGACTCCTCATCCTGCTATTGTAACCATCTGTAGAACTTCAGCTCTTTGGTGATGAGACTCTGAGTCATTCTCTCTAGTCACAGTCAACCTGGGGTGACCACAGGCTGTGATAGGGCTGTGGCCTTTATCCTGAGGACAGTGAGGATATTCCAATTTAAGTTTTACTATCATTCTGGCTGCTGACTGAATAATAGATTTGGGAGAGCATGTGTGGATTTGGAAGACTTCTAAGAAAGGCCAGTGTAGATGCATAGAGGTATTATAATCAATGTTGACCTGGAGTTATACCAGGCAAAGACAAGTGGGTAACGGCAAACTCGGTGGAGGGAAAATCCACAAGACTTGGTAACTGGATATTTTAGTATATCACTTAAATTCACCTTTTTATTCAGTATGGAGTTGAGTGTACAATTTTTTAGTATTTGCCTTCTTTAATTCTGTCTTATAAGTTAGTTTATAATTTAAACCCATATAGCTGGTGAACTTGGAGCACTTGGTTTATGATTGTTAAAAGCTCATAAGTTTACTGCATACCTTTTATTCAGTTGGTTTGCTAGCATATGAGAGATACAACCTTTAATTCTTATTGGTCTTAATAAATGTAAACTTTTGTTTTTAGGTTGTTCAAAGTAGGCCTAAAGTTGTTGACCGTATTTACAGTATTTATAAACTTATAGCTCGTAACTACAAAATGAATACTGCAAGACTGCTTTACAAACAAAGGACAGATTCTTCTATGAGCGTTCCCTCTATTCCAGAAACTCCTGTGAGAACCAAAAGAGTTTCACGGTAAGCGGTAAATGTTCTCTGGTTTCCTGTCGCTGTTCATTCATTCATTCCGCAAACCCTCATCAAGTACCTACTATAAGCAAGAGACTGTGCTTCTCAATGGAGAAACACCAAAGAACAAGGATGGAATCCTTGGTGAATCCACAGGAGAGGATCTCAGTACATAATGAAGTAAGAACATTGTAGCTTTAGGTATTTAGTAGTTACTTAAATTCTTTGTATCAAATAGTTAAGGCTAATAATTAGCTTTTTACAAACTGCCAAAATCAATTTTTTTTCTGTGTGTAGAACAATTACACTGTTTGAGAGCTGCCAACAATCCCTCCCGTCTGAAATGTCCCCCTCCAGCTCTTCCAGAGTCATCCCGGTACTTGGAAGTCTCCTCATAGAGAAGTTCTATCTGAGGCCTTGTGTTAGTTTCCTATAACTGCTGGGAGAAATGGCCACAGGCTCGGTGGCCTTGAAGAATAATAGTACCTTATTCTCTCACAGTTAGAGTCAGTGAGACCAGAGGCTCAGAGTCACCATGTCAGCAGGGCCTCACCCCAGGGCTCTAGGGCGGAATCCTCGGCTGGAGGTGTCCCTGTTGCTGTGTGACTCCACTCTCCTCCGCCATCATCGTGTGGCCTCTTCCCTCGTCTGTATCTCTTGTACAGACACATTGGATATGTGGCCAGTCCAGATAATACAGAATGCTCCGATCTCAAGTTCCTTTAGTTAAGTATGTCTGCAAAGACCCCTTTTCCAAATAAGGTCACATTCACAGGTTCTGGGAATGAGGATGTGGATGTGTCTTTTGCAGGGGGCGTTCAGCCTACAACAGACCTGTAGAGGCAATAGTGGCTAATCTAGTTTAAGACATTAAGTTTAGAAGTTTAGAAAAAAATGGTGTCTTGCTACATGGTTAACCAAAACGGAATGTCTACCACTATGAAGGCGTATGGAGCTGCATCCTACATGCAAGGTGAGGAACTGTGGTTACTGGACAGCAGGGAGCTACATAGCTCAAGGGCATGACAGCAAACCCATGAATACGTAGTAAAGGCTACGATGGCTGCTGGATGGAGAATAACTGAAAGGACCTGCTGAAAGAGCGCTGGAAATTGTCTCGGATATACTTATGAGAAGTAAAAGCAAGAGTTGAGGAAAGGATAGGTTGGGGGAGCGTGGGAAGGGGTGTTGAATAGTGGGTTTTATTTTAGAGAAGGCTGAGATGCCTGTGACAGAAATAAGAGGGAAATACAAACAAGCCATTAGAAAATCAGGGCTGTGCTTCTGAAGAGAAGAGTCTGTCTAGAGACGTAAACTATGGAATCACCAGATTTGGGGATCATAGCCCTCAAAGACATGGAAATGAATGCCCTTACTTCAAGAGAGACAATACATAGAAAACAAAGCCCCAAACTGAATCTCAAGATAACCCCAATTTCCCCAGAAGTCAATCAGAGAAAGAGCTAGCTAAAAAAGAAACGCTGATCAGATAGATAAGAAGTTAGTCATCGCCAACTGCGCAGTGCTACTGAGATGTGAGGTGGAGGTGAAATACGTCTGTTGGCTTTGGTGAGATGGCGGCGGCGATGTGGCAACATACGGATTATTGAGGACTGGAAAACCAGTGGAACACCATGGAAACAATTCACGGTTTATGAGAGCCAAGAAAAGAGGCGTTGACTGCCTTGAACGATGCTAGAGAAACAGCCCATGATGCTTAATCTGGGTGCAAGGGAAGAACCAAGTATGTCCTGACTTATGCATGCTGTGTGTTAGGGTCTCCAAATGGCTGATGCAGAGAAGTTCTCTATAGAAAAGTTCTGTTTAATAAGTGCAGATGGAATATGAAGCTATCACTATTCTGTAGCCCCTAATGAAATAAGAGCCCTGCTCTAGGTCAGGATCATACATAGCTGATAAAAGCATCAGATGAATTGAATTTATGTGGATGACAATAATCTAATCTACTGACAAATCTAGGTATCACAGAAAGATAAAGCCAGCAAGCATTGTGTATCTCCTGGTGCACAAGACCATGTAAATTGGATTCTTGTCAAAAAGCAAACCTGAGTCATGTGCTACTGTTAAGAATGGCCCACAGACCATGCCAGGCTACAAACTATTCTGGCTCCAGTTGATAAAGACTCAGGAGTTTAAAGTCAGTATTTGGAAACTTACATAGTAATTACCTTGCTATTACATAGCTTTTAAAGTCAGGTTTCTTGAGAGATAATTTACATAACAGTAAAATTCACCTTTATAATATTTGATAAATTTTTGTATGACAAAAATTAGTCTTATATTGTAGAAAACTCTAGCAACACTTCTTAGTAAATATAAATTAGAATTATGATACTGATTTAAGTTATAAATTTGTACTATTCATGAGATCATTTATGGTCCAAAATTTATAACAAAACTCCAGCTATGATTTTACAATTTGCTCAGGCAGTAAAATTTCATTTAAAAATGATTAACATTTTCTGAATTTACCTTATTTTCCTTATCACCTTATTAAAAGATTGAATCAATTTTGATGAACTAACTTAACTCTTGATTAATTTCCTCCCTTCTTCGCTGCCTCCATCTTTCCTTCCTATGACTCCAGCAGTTCTCTACCCGGTATAAATCCTGGTGTTGACAGTGTACTTTTTCTTGACCTGGGTCGCACAGCAGTTAGCTTTATAATAATTACTCATAAACTATATAATAGTTGTAAATTGGTTTATGCATGCATATTTCACAGTACAACATAGTCTACCTGTGTAGTCTAACTTATTAATGGAGATCATTCTATGTATGATTTTTATTAAAGGTCCTGGCAAATCTTAATGCTATATTATAAAAGCTGTTATTAAAATAATGAGTAGATTTTTTTTTTCTTTTGATGTAATCAGGTTTTCTGACAGAAAATTTGCCAACAGTATATAAATAGGTATGTGATTCAATAATTTAAGATAGCCATATGCAGCTGTGAAATGACTACCACTGAGACGAGGCACTTCTGTCGCAGCAAGCCCCTTGTGCCCCTTTGCTGGATTCTGGCAGCTACTGATCTCACTTCAGCACCTTTGGATGTGCCTCTTCTATGTCGTCACATTAATGGAGTCACACGATGTGTAGCTTACTTAGCTTAATGCTTTGAGGTTCATCCAAGTGGATGCATGGATTAGGACTCCACTCCCTTTTATCACAGAGCACTGTCCCACTGTATGGGTATACCACACCTTGAACCACTCTCCAATTAATAGATATTTGGATTTTTAACAGGAAAGAAAAATAAGAAAATGCATATATTAATGGGGTTTATGTGAGAAAGGTGCATGAGCTCCCCTCTGATGGATACTTTTTTCACTGAAGTATGAGATTATAAGCAGTAGCTCAGAAGCAGATCAGGAAGGGTGTGGAGGGGACCCCTGAAGAGAAGAAAGGAATACAGTAGTCATCTGGGAAAGGAGAAGGAGGCATATTGGCTATTTCAAGTACCCATTCAGATCTGCAATCATCGGCATCAAATCTGTCAGCCTGGCTCTGACTTTTCTTTAGCAGTGTCCAGCCTTAGAGGAATGGAGAAGACAGGTGCTCGGATTCAGTTCGGAATACAGATTGAACTTTGGTTGAATCCCATGTGAAAGAGAGACAATCGAGTCAGTGGCATTTGCAAAGCATCCATATTAATGGACCTAAGATGCACAAGGAGGGAAGTGAGAGGGACATTCTGGTGGATGGGGACACGTGTGGAGTTCAGGTGCACTGGAGATCTCACTGGGGTGGGGAAATGCATGCAGTGGATGTATTAAAGGCCATGAATGGATCACCCGTGGTGGCTGGAGAATGAGAGTGTCACAATGGGCTGTCAGTCATAGGCACTCCTGATGGTGACAGTCTGTTATGTGACTGCAGAACAGGAGGAAACGGGGCACACATTGGCAGGTGAGTTGTTGGCTTCTGGGTGTTGAAGTGACTGAGGATGGTGGCAGAAGACCAAGAACCAAGCGGGTATTTGATCGGTGATCAAAAGGCAGTGGAGGGGCTAAACAGCATGAGCTTCAGAGGAACTGGTCACCTTTCAGAAAAGACAGGGATGAATAGTTTGAAAAGTGGCAAGTGATGGCAGTAATATGAAGCCCTCCCATCTGTTGGAGTTATAAGGGAAATGATGTGTTCAGATGTCACTACACTTTAAGAAAGTGAAGGTGACCTTAGGAGAAGAACTTAATTAATGCAAGATTTTTATCCCTTTCAGACTTAAACCAGCCTGGGTTTTAAGAAGAGATGACATGGAAGAAATCACAAATCCCCTGCAAGCTATTCAAATGGTGATGGATACACTTGGCATTCCTTATTAGCAATGTAAGCATTCTCAGCATGTATAGTAAAAAAGCAATATTAAAACTAATCATGAGTATGTAAACTGTTTTTAGCTTTCTTTGTACAATTTCTAAAATCTGACTTTGTATTAAAATTAAAAATGTAAATATAATAAGTTACCTGTTTTTATATTCCTTGTATCTTTTATTATTTAATGGATTTGTGCATGTAACAAATAGGTCATAAAATGATTATAACATTGTTATTCATGTATCTTAAAATATCTTATTAGTTTGAATATAATCAATTCCTAAAGGGAAGAGTTGCTTATTACTGCTGTCTTATAGATAAATTGAGCTATTTTTCTAAAATAAAATTTGGAAATTTAAGAATCTGCCAAGTTACTTAAAAGAGACGAGGATAAATAATCCCACAAATGCCAGAAACAACATCCCGTTTGTTTCCTTGGCTGGCTGCAGAGAGACAAGCAAGCTTGACTTTGGACTGATTGGGGTTATGACTGGGACTGGGAAGGCATGGTCTTGCTTATGATAGAGTTGTTACCTCGTCACATCTCACAGACCTGAAAGTGTGAGGTATTGAGACATAACTGGATATCTTCTTTAGTTCTGGGCCACCATTGCCAGTACTAAACAAGTGTGGTTCTAGGGCCGCCCGCGGAAGCCTGACTCCCATGGCAGTTTGCAGTCTGATAGGGTCTGACAGTCGGCTTGTGTACAGAGGGCGCCAAAGTTTTTAACTTTGAAATAAATCAGTAGTAGGTAGAAATGGAGAGACCATTTAACTACTTAACTGACTAATTTGTTAGAATAAGGATTAAACCTAATTAGTCAAATTTCCTGGGATTTGGTTAGGATAGCTATAAATATCATTTTGGTGTATTAAAAGTATGTTGAAACTAACTCTGGGCAATGTTTGCTATTTCCTTTTTTTTGTTCTGCTGTTCTTTTAATAAAATGTTAGGACTCTTGGCACTCAGTATTTTCTGAAGAACATGGGTTTTTTTTTACTCTCTGATCTCTCCTGAATGCTTTATTCTTCTCTATTGTTTAACAAAATTTTAGTATCAACAATCTGTTTACTTTGGTGAATTATAATGCCTGGATATAATCAACCAACATGAGATGTTATTGGTATTAATTTCCTCTAAGATGTTACAACCAATTAGTATTTGCACAAGAAATATTTCTATGAAGTTATATACATAAGAAGATGATTTCCAGAAGTTACAAGTTTTTCTTTTGTTGAAACTTGGACTAAGAATTTCAAAATTTTATCTAAGACCCTATTTCTGTATAAAGAACATGCCTCCTAAATTTATGTGACTTGCCCATATCAGGATCCTAAGGCTTGTGTATCTGTGTTATGAGTGTGTGTTGGTGGTTGGAAGGACTGGTTGAAAGGTAATGAAGCCTTCTGCTTTAGAAATAGCTATTTTCTACAGAGATATTACATTATATTAAAGAAGGAATATAAATGTATTAACTGATCTAATTTTATTGTAGGTGTTTCACATTAACCCGTTTACTGTGATTAATCCAGATTGCCAGCAGATGTCACTATGACCACACAGTGTCATTTTTAGTTTACTTCCAAATGTACAAATATTGTTACATAATTTTGATTTTTGCAAATAAAATCCAAACTTTTACATCCTTGGAAATTTTTATCTATAGACCCCTAATACAGCATGTTATTCATACCATATCTGGCTTCATGCTTGAGAGGAAGAAATTTACATTGCACATTCTATATTCAAAATTGTTGAATTTTTCCAGGTTCATTATCTTTATAACTTCTAATTTTGTTTGTAGCAATAAAAGCATAGCACATTTAAAAATCTGTACTGATTAAGAAACTATCTTTTTGATTGTTTGTTGTTAGTAGCTAAGCTGCCAATTGGCTTACTTTTAATATTTACATTGTTAACCAGTCATTTGATTCTTGGTGTAAAGAAAGTGATCACCTGTAGTTGCTTTCAACAAAAAGGGAGAATTCCAATGAAAATAACTTGCTTGTGATGTCTTTATGCTAGGTGAAAATAATGCAGAGGAATATTTAAAATCTGTATTTGAGGGTATGTGTTTAAATATCCAACCTGTTTAAGGGAAGAAGGAAATATTCCAAAACCTGATTTTTTCAAGAAATTCTTATGGAGGACTACCTAAAGTAGCTTCAGAAGCCCATGGAAACTGTAGAACCCTTTTTATGAAAAAGCTTTATAGAAGCCTACTTCAGACTCTCAGTAGAATTTTATTCTATGAAAAATACTACAGTATTACTACAGATAACTTTTATATTTATAATAGTGGACTTTTAAGAAAAAATTATAATATGAATGAGAGCAATATGAAATTTGATCTAAACTGCCGTTGCTTTGTCAAGGCATCATTAGGGTTCATACCTGCTGGATACTGAGTATTTGATATAACTCCTCCTGCTGTCTGTGTAGTGATCTGGAGGCACATTAAAAGTCCAACAACTTCGTATCTACGCTCAGCATGTAGTAGACATGCAGGCTCACGATGTTTCTCAGTGTCTTCCTTCTGTTACTTTGTCTTTGAAGTAATCTGGGTTCCATTGCCATTTGCCTACTTGCCCTCAAGTAAGCGCTGACTCCTGGACAGGCAGCAGCTGCCGCTTCCCGTCAGACCCAGGACACCTTAGGGGAAACTCGTTCCCATTCATCGTCTCACTGTTGGCATGCAGATGTTTACTAACAATGTCCACCCTGCGCAGTTTGCACATACTCTTTATTTCAGTTTCCTGAAAAATAACCAATACTAGAAACACTGCAAATTGTGAGCCAGGTGGCTCCTGGCAGATACTGGTAACTTGAATCATTAGGGGTGTTGTATCACGTCTTTCTGCAGTTTTTCCAAGTGGAGACTAAACAGAGCTCATAAATTTTCCTTTAGAGTCTGATTTTCCTTCCTGGGAGAGATGGGTCAGCTGGCTCCTAGCATTAGCTGTTAGCACCTGATCTGAAAGAGATAGCTTAGAGTATTATTTTCAGGTACAACCCTCTTGTTTGCCACATGCATACGGTCTTAACCCCGCACCTGACCTCCCCTGTTCCCCTTCCCAGGGAGATGTGCTCCGTTTGGCGGTAGTGATGGGACTGTCCGTGCTGCTTAGTGGCACCGCACACACAGCCCTAGTATGACTGCATAGGGTGTAGTTGTGGCCCAGCAGCAACTTTAAGGACACACACTGTCAGATTTAATGTGTGAGTGTGTGTTCTGTTCCCTGAAATCATGCTCCCCTGGAGGAGGAGTGCAGTTCCGGGCCTAGGGCAACTGGATCAGGCAAAACAGAAGTAGTGTGTGCACCATCCTCAGTCTTATTTTTACTTCCCAGTCCTGGATGCTTTCATGTAAAGCCTCCTTTTCCTCTCATCTGTGAATGTGTGACCATGTTCATTTAACTGACTTAGCCTGCTGGCAACACCCTTCCCTGCCTGGAGAAGTTTCCCACTGCATTTTTCAATGAGACCACTGCCCTGAGGGTGTCAAGCCACATCATATGTTTACCTAATAAGTTTCTTTGCATCTTTATACACTGATATAACATCCTCAGGAAGACTTGTCATGGTCAAACATAATTATAAAAATTCTGTACAGGCGGGCTGTGGTTTGATTTCCCTAATACTAATGTTGAACGTCTTTGATGCAGAGTCTGTTCAAGTCTGTGCCCACTTTTAAAAATTAGGTTGTGAAAATTCTGAGAATTCTTCGATATTCTGATCCAAGTTCCTTATCAGGTAAGTGATTTGCAGATATTTTATCATCTTCTGTTTTTCATTCTCATAATAGCGCCTTTTGAAGAGTGGAAAACTTTTTTATTTTGATGAGATCACATTAATCAGTTTTTTTCTCTTGTTCATTATACTTTCGGTGTTGTATCTAAAAACTCATTGCTTAACCCAACATCACAAAGATTTTCTACTAGAAGTTGTATTATTTTAATTTATTTACTTTCTTGGTAAGCCATTTCAGGTCAATTTTTGTATATGGTATAAGGAATGGAGCAAAGCTTATTTTTTTGCATATGGATAGCCAGTCGTTCTACCATCACTTAGTGAAAAAACCATCCTCTTTCCACCAATCACACTTTCGCATTTCTTAAACTCCAGATGTCCGTGTTAAGTGTTGGTCTCTTTCTGAACTCTTGCACTGATCCTCATTCACTTTTATGCCGATATCACGCTGTCTTCCTCACTGTAGCTTTATAATAGAGTTTGTAATCAGATATTATACATCATCTAATCTTGTTCTTTCTCCAAGTTGCTTTGATTATTCTAGGTCCTGTGCATCTTCATTTGAAATTTAGACCATAAGTTCTTGGACTTTTATTTGGCCCTCATTTTCTAGATCTTTAAGTGGAAACTGCTTTCATTGATTTGAGGTTTTTTCTCTAAGATAGATAATCAGTGCTATAGATTTAACTCTGAGAACTACTTTAGCTGTACTCCACAAACTTTGATGTTTTTCATTTATATTCAGTTCAAAATACTTTCTCTTTTAATCTTGTCTTTGACCCATGGATTATTTATAGATGTGTTATTTAGTTTGCAAATACTTGCAGATATTCCATATATCATTGTTATAGATTAATAATTTAATTCCACTCTGGCATTGTGTGTGTGTGTGATTTGCCATCTCAATAAGCTTATTGAGACTTATTTATGGCCCAGAATATGGTCTGTTTGATAAATGTCCCATGTACACATGAAGAGAATGTCTATCCTGATACCATGGAGAGTGTTCTACAAACATCAAGTAAGTCAAATTATGTAATAATATTGTTCTAGTGTTTTGTATGCTTACTGATTTTCTGTCTACTTCCATCAGTTATTGAGGGATAGTTTTTAAAACCTTGGACTGTAATTGTGTATTTGTCTATCCTTGAATCCAAAACTGATTAAGCTATATGTATTTTGAAGCTCTGTGGGTAGTTGTATAGTTCTTGAAGATTATTATACTGTCCTAATAAACTGACCACTCTCCAATTAGGGAATGACCTTTATCTTTGGTAATATTCTTTGTCCTAAAATCCATTTTGTTTGATTTAACATAGCAACTCTGTTCTCTTTGTCTGTACATTTAAATTTTTTTAATTGGGATAAAACACATGTATACATATGAAAGTTAGCATTTTAAGTGAATGTTGCCATTAATTACATTCGCATTGTTGTGTGCCCTACTTCTCTTCTGATTATTGTTATCTCGTGTATTAATTTCCCAGGGCTCCTGTAACAAATTACCACAAACTTCTTGACTTCAAACAACAGAAATTTATACTTTCACAGTTCTGGGGACCATTTGTCTGAAACAGGTGTTGGTGGGGCCGCACCCCCTCTTCAAAGCCCTGGGAGAATCTGTTCCTTGCCTCCCCAGCCTCTGGGAGCCCCAGATGTTCCCGGTTTCTGGCCCATCACTGTAACCTCTGCTTTAGTAGCCATACTGCCTCCTCTTTTCCTTACTCTTATAGGACATTTGTGTTTGCGTTTAGGGCCCACCGTGATAATCCAGGTTGATCTCTTTACTCAACATTGTCAAGTTAATTGTGTCTGCAAAGACCCTCTTTCCAAAAGGGTCACAGTCACGGGTTCTGGGGATCAGAGAACATGGACACATTTGGGGGATGCTAATCAACCCATATGGCATAGCATACCTATCCATATTTTACTTTTAACCTAATTTTGTATTTGTGTAAGATGGGTACCTGATGGAATGCAAATAGCTGGGCCTTTATTTTTCAGTCCAATGTAGAAGTCTGCCTTTTACTTGAGGTGTTGAGATGCTTTGCAATTAAGGTGATGATTGATATGACTAAGTTTAAATCTGTCCTCTTGATGTTTCCATTCATCCCATCTGCTTTTTTCTCTTTTTTTCTGACCTTATTTGGCTTAATCAAATAATTATTTTGGTTTTTGTTTTGTTTTTTTTTAAAGGATTCCAACCTACCCACCTTGTTGG